GTGGGCCAAGCTCCTGGAGTACAATCGAAGTGAGGGAGAAGCAATAATATGAACAAAGGAGTCAAGACCATGATGGGGAAACCCACAGAATCAGCTGACCTGAGCTAGTCAGAGATCACTGAAGAAGGTCTGACAAATGGGGAACCTGCATTAAGACTGAACTAGACTCCCTTAATATAGGTGACAATGGTGTGGCTGGGACAATATATAAGGCAGTGGGTCCAAGACCTAACACTAATGCATAAACTGACTTAGTGGAGCCCATTCTATGTGGAGAGATACCTTCCCCAGCCTAGACAAATGGGTGTGGGGGGTGAAGAGGTGCCTTGGTCCTGCCTCAACAAGATGATGGAACAGACTTAATAGACTTCCTTTGGGAGGCCTTACCCTCTCTGAGATGGAGGGGGGATGGGAGGAGCGGGAGGAGAGGAGGGAGGGGGAACTGGGATTGGAATGTAAAAAATAAATTAATAAAAAAAGAGAGTAGGCAAGGATTTCAGGAGCAGTATAAATAGGTAAGCATAGAAATGCCTTAAGTTGGTAGAGAAAGCTGGAGTGGGGGCAGTAGTGACCTTTCTAAACCCTGCCCCACATGCCTCTTCTGTCACTCTTCATTGTATCTTTTAAAATATCCTTGTAGGGGATGGGGATGTAGCTCAGTAACACAGTGCTTGTGTAGCATCTCCACCTCTCTCTCCTTTGTAGGTCTGTGTGTGGTGGCTTATGCCTCTTCTAGTACTCAGGAAGCTGAGTCAGGATTGCTATAAATCCAAGGCCAGCCTGGTTCAGGCAGCCTGCCTGCCTCAATAAATAAGTAAACAAATTCTGTGTGACAAGTTGGAAATCGAGGGAGTGAGCTGTGTTCTTAAATTTTGTGAGACCCTCTAGTAGATGGTCAATAGGAGGGGGTGGGAGGTGGGATCATAGGGAGCTCTGATCTGTAACAAAATCAGAATTCCCTTGGCTAACCTAGGGACCTAATGTGAGCTGGCGTCTACTGTAGAGGGCAGCGTGTGGGACAAAGTGCTTAGCCTGTGAGGTTGTACTAAGTCTCAGGCATTGGTGACAGAACTAAACTAAACTGTAGGATGCCCAGTCAGTATCTGGAGAGTTGCAGAGGTGTTGGTATAGGAGAAGCTCTTATGTATCTGGCAACAGAAGTGCTGGGAATCCTAGGTGTGAGTTTAGAAGCACATGGCAAGGTTTCTGTATACAACACAGAGGAAGAACCATGGAGTATCTTATGTGAGGTGCCTGCATCACACTGGATGGGACATAGCAGCCTCAGGTCATCAGGTCTGGCCTGCTTGCCTGGCACTATTCCCATCTCCAAGCACACCAAAGCCCAGGAGGGGAGAGGAACTGACAGAAGGGGGAAGTGCTCACCTTTGGAAAGAGGCCATGTGGTCTTTGAGTGCCTGCACGAAGGGGAGGATCCAGTGGTGACGGAGAACCACGCTCTGAGACAGGCTGAGATGGAACTCCTCCATCTGCACCAATCGGGGCACGAATGTCTGAGCTCGGGACAGCAACACATCAAGCAGATCCAGGAACTCTTCCTTCGCTTCATCTAGTGGAAGAGCAGGAAGAGCAGACTGCCTCTTAGCCCAGCAGTCACAGATGAGTTAAAAAGCCCAGAGGGCAGAGGAGCCCTTATTAGCCTGGTTTCAGGAGTAGCTTATATCTGGACAGCTTACCAATATTTTAATGTGAATGTCTTTTCAAATAAATGTATTATGTGTGGTATGTAGAATATGGGCACACACAATAGCACTTTGTAGTGTTCCTCTAAGTGTTTCTATCCCCGGGTGCTGAGGCTAAAGTCATGCTAGCCTAAAGCATTTTTATGCCAATACCAAGATGTTTTCATTACTATAGCTCTATAGTAGAGTTTGAAGTCAGGTGTGGTGATGTCTCCAAAGTTCCTTTATTATACAGGGTTGTTTTGACTATCCTGGGTTTTTTGCTTTTCTATATGAAATTGAGTATTGTCCTTTCAAGGTCTGTGAAGAACTGTGCTGGGGATTGCATTGAATCTATAGATTGCTTTTGGTAAGATTGCCATTTTTACTATGTTAATCCTACCTATCCAAGAGCATGGAATATCTTTCCATTTTTCTGTTGTCTTCTTCAATTTCTTTTTCTAAAAACTCAAAAGTTCTTGTTGTACAGGTCTTTCACTTGTTTCATTAGCATTATCCCAAGATATTTTATGTTTTCTGTGGCTACTGTAAAGGGTATTGTTTTTCTGATTTCTTTCTTAGCCCGTTTATCATCCGTATATAGTAGGGCTACTGGTTTTTTTTTTTTAAGTTAATCTTGTATCCTGCCACATTATTGAAGGTGTTTATCAGTTGTAGTAGTTCCCTGGTAGAATTTTTGTTGTCACTTACATAAACTATCACATCATCACCAAACAGTGAGAGTTTGATTTCTTTTCCAATTTGTATCCCCTTGATCACCTTTGGTTGCCTTATTGCTCTAGCTAGAACTTCGAGTACTATATTGAATAGATATGGAGAGAGTAGAAAGCTTGCCTTGTTACTGATTTCAGTGGAATCACTTTGAGTTTCTCTCCATTTAGTTTGATGTTGGCTGTTGCTGTTTAATGTCTTTATTTTGTTTAGGTATATTCCTTGTATCCCTGATCTCTCTAAGACCTTTATCATGAAGGGGTGTTGGATTTTGTCAAAGGCTTTTTCAGCATCTAATAAGATGATCATGTGGCTTTTTTTCTTTCAATTTGGCATCTTTATGCATATCTGCTTAAATTCAGAAACAATCAAAATGTCCTTTAGTAGGTGAACATACTGTGGTAGAGCCAGACAATGGAATATGAGTTAGCACTAAAAAGAAATGAACTATCAAGTATAACAAGGCACTGAGGAACCTTAAATGCACATTACTAAGCCATAGAAGCCGATCTGAAAAGGTTACATAGTAAATGGTCTCAATTCTGTGACATTCTGGAGAAGGCAAATTTGTGGAAACAGGTGTTGGTGGAAGGTGGGGATGACTAAGTTAAGCATGGAGGATTCGGATAGCAGTGATATTACTCTTCATGATAGTGTAGATGTACGTATTTTTAGTTTGTCTAAGCTCACAGAATGTACAACACCAAGATATGTCCATAATACAAATCTTGAAATCTGGTGATTATTATATGGCCTCAAGCCTGGTAGTGGTGGCACATACCTTTAATTCCAGCACCGAAGTGGCAGAGACAGGCAAATCTCTAAGTTCTAGGGCAGCCAGGACTACACAGAGATCTCATCTCAAAAAAAAAAAAAAAACAAAAAAAAAACCAAAAAAAAAGTGGGTTCATCCATCTGCTGTGAGAAATGTAGCATTCTGACAGTGGATGCTGCCTAGTAACTTCCAGAATACCCAGTGCAGCCAGGCCTGATCCAGCCTGTCACTTCCTCAGGGCCCGGAGGGATGAGTCTAGCACACAGGGACCCTGGTTTCTTCCTTCTAGCCACAGCTAGGAGGCACTTGTTGGCCCTCTGCCATTGGTGAGTGACTCACATGGTATGTAGATGTGTGTGGCCCAGTTGCCCCGCTCATGGGGAAAGGTGCGGATTCGTCCCCCATGTTTTGTACTGTCGTCCTCAGGCCCCTCCTCTGTGCTAGAGAACATGCTCAACACACTGTCAGGTACTGGGAACCTCTGAGTGGGAAGGGAGTTCTGGCCACTGCAAAAGAAGAAAGAACAAGCATTGTCTCCCTTTGCACATACAACAAAAGGTCTAAGCTCTTATGCACAGTAATTGTTTCTACAGCAGCCTTGCCATGTAGTGTAGACTGGCTTCAAATTTGATCCTCCTCCCTCAGCCACAGTGGCTGAGTGTGGATCTCCAGGCAGGTGTTTGAGCTTCTAGAGAGCCACAACTCTCTAGAACTACTTTCTAGAACTAATGAAGTTTTCCGGATAATCTGGGAGGCACACCTCAGCAGAACTCTTGGTCCCCATGGGAACACTTGAGCAGGCAGCAGTGTGGCTTGGAGGTCCTTATTACCTAGCTGGACGGGCCAGAACCGAAGTAGTTCTGTGATCTTGCCGTATATTAATTTCCTCGTGTGTAAAGCATATTTCTACTTGCTAGAGCTCTTCTGAAATGAACTGACGACATACTGTACTCAGCAAAGACAGGTGCTTTGGTTATTATTGCACTGTGTTCAAATGAGGAAACAGACCTTGAAAGAAACATGCTTGCACACCAGGGGAGAAAAATGCACGGGCTAGGGCTGGACTAGAACCCGTGTCCTCACTCCCAACCTTGCCTTAGCCGAGGGTGTGCGTGTGTGCCATTTTGGGACTTTGTCCAGGGTGTGCTCCTGGGAATCCTCCTTTCCCTCGACGTCCCTTTTTATTCTTCCCGGGGAACCGACCCACCCTCCCGGGCATCCCGGAGGCTCGGATCCCACCAGGGTTTCAAAAGAATCGCGCCCTCGCGATAGAAACTTCCTCGCTCCTCACCAACGGCGGCCCCCAGACCGGGGCTTGCTCCGCCCTGCGGCGGCGGGGGCCTCGGTTTCATCCTCGGAGCCGCTGCTGCTGTACCCCACCAGGGGCGCCGCGCTCATGGGGTCTTGACCACAGGCGGAATACGCGGGCAACCTAGGCCAGCGCCCGGAGTTCCGCTGAGCATGAAATGCTCGCTGGGGCCGGACCTAGAGTAGTTCCACCTCGAGGCGGGGCCTTGCGACGGAGGGGGCGGATCCCAGAGGACTACCGCAAACTGCGCTCGGCGGCTACGCGGTAAGTGCTGCAGGCGGCCTTCGGGAGCGCTCGGTCGCCGTAGTGCCCCGGTGCGGGTCCGCCTGTCAGACCTGCACAAAGACAGAGCCCCAGGGCCCCTCCTGAGAGCGAGCTGAGCGGCACGGCAGCTGCAGAAGACCGGAGCGTCGGGTGGGACGGACTGTGGCCAGCAGCGGCAGGGCTGGGGCTGGGGCTGGACCCTCGGGCGCCTCGGCTCTGGAGGCTCCCGACGCTGCAGCTCCGCCCCCCCGCACTCATAAGCTCGGGTCGGCCGGGCCGCGGGTCCCCGGCAGGGGGCGGCCTCGCACCGTAGCTCGGGTCCCTCCGCAGCCGCCGCCCGGGCCGCGGCTCCTCCCCCGGCCCCGCCTCCCTGGCCTCGCGCCGCCCGCCCGTCCGCCGGGCTCTGCAGGACCGTCGGTCTGTCCGCTCGCTCGTCCGTCCGCTGCCCGGATCCGGCGAGTCGGAGTGAGCGAGTCGATTCGTCGGTTCCGGCCGCCACAAACCCGTCTCCCGCCCCCGGGCCGCCCGCCTCTGCTACGCGAGGCCGCGGATTGGCAGGGCGCGTAGGCCGCGCCGCGGCGGATGGAGCCGGAATAAAGAGGCAGCCGAGAAAGCAGCTGGTCTCTCTGCTCGCCCCGCGCCTGTCCCCACGGGCGGCCTGGAGCAGGTGAGCGGCAGGGCACTGGGGGCTGCTTCCCAGGGCCACTCCAGTGTCCACCACACCTCGGGAGAGCCTCCTGAGCTCTGGGGCGGCCCAGGCCAGGCCTGGAAGCACAGTCGCTTCCCAGGCACGGTTTGAGACTCTGGGGCCTTCTTCGGCCTGAGCCACCCTTTCTTGGGTCGCAGCGGCTGGGCCATCCGGAGCAAGAGCTGACAGGAGGCAGCCCAGCTGGGCCTGATGGGAGGTGACCAGCTTTCGTTCAGTTACCGGGAGAGGAAGAAGGGCTGGGGTGGGGCGTGAGTGGGGGCTTCTCCTTGCCTTTCCTCCCCTCCCCTACTCTCTCCTGCCGTTTGCGGGAGTGATCTGAGAGTGTTCCTGGCTTCACCTTCCTGGAGAAGGGTCAGGGTAGACAGTGGGGTTGCTCCGAGAGGTGGGGAGTGGGGGTGGCCTCTGGGGCTGTCAGCCATTCATACCAGGAAAAATAACACACAATTGGATTGGTACAGCTAGACCAGGCGTGTTCAGTGCAATCCACCTCTCCTCACTACCTTAGGAACGCTAGAATGACCAGCTGTAGCTGCTTGTTCATACACCTCGGCACTACACCAACGCAGCAGCTCTTTTATTCCCTCCTTTCCCAGAAGTTGCTGCGGATGGCAGCTTTTAGCTTGATTCTTAAGTTTCTTTAGCGGAACAGTTAGAAGTCAGGCTGGCTTGTGAGGTCATTCTCTTCCTTCCTCCTCCTAGAGAAAACTTACAAACTTTTAAATCTAAGCGACTGATGAACTAAGAACCTGGGAAGGGGTTGCCTTTGGATCCCAAAGTTCCTCCCTCTCTGTCCGCTGCCTCAAAGTGGTGAATTAAGAGATTTGCTGGGGCAGGGTGGGCTTTATCTTGCATTGATTATTGTGAATGTTTGGGACCTGGAAGAGGAACATCCTGTGGGATGCTTTATCCTGTATAACTCAGGCAAATATTACACTTTATGATATTGTGTTCCTCTGAGAGATGACTAGAGTACAGAAGGTGGGCTTGGAGGATTTCTACTCTGGGTGGTCTATGAACCTGTCATTTAACCCTCCTTGCCAGGGATTCAGGTTCCTGCAAGGCCATTCATCCTGTTACAGCTAGAGATGCATGTGCCCGGGGAAACGCCTAGAGTGCAGGTGTCGAAGAGCCGGAGCGGCTTCCGGAGTCCATTTGCCTTAGGACCGGTGCCTTGGGGGTGTGGCTTTATGCCAGCAGGCTAGCAGGCTTCTCTGGTCTCTAAGCAGTGGTGTCCTCATGTTAATGTGAGAGGGGCTGGCAGGCCTTCGGGACAGGTCACCCCAGACCCTGTGAGACACCTGACTGAATAAGGCTACATGGAAAGTAGAGGGGATTTGTGGAGGCCGAGATGCCCTGCCCTCTTCCCCTTTGCATGGAGGAGTGGAGCTGCCCCCAGACTTCTTTGATAACATGTGAAGGGAGCAGATTTCCAGTCCTGAGCATCTCCCTCCCCTAAGGTAGCTTATGTCAGTTCAGTGAGTGTGGGCAGCACAGGAAAAGATAAGGGAAGGGCCACTTGTTCCTGCCTCAAGTTCACTGTGTCTCTCTTCCCTACAGAACCGGTTACTGGGGAAGGCAGAGCCTTCTTGGCATTGCTGGGACCCTGTCTCGAAGAGCCCCCTGTCCTGTAAACACTGCCTTGTAGGCTATCTTCTTGGCTAATGACAAGGGCTATCTGACCAGTCCTCCTCTGTGCCTTGTGTGAGGTTCTTGTCCGTCCCTGAGACCGGTAGCTTCTCTCTCAGGGTTGGGTTCACCTTAAGCGGGAAACTGAAGCCATTACTGTCCAAACCCAGTTTCATCTTCCCAAGCATGTCGGAAAGCTGGCAGCAGCCACCACAGACGCAGCCACAGCAGCCACAGCCTCCACAGCCTCAGCACCATGCAGAGCCACCACCAGCCCTGGCTGAGCACACGCTGCCCCCAGGTACAGCTGAGAATCCACTAGGCTGTGCTGTGTATGGCATACTTCTGCAGCCTGACCCAGGCCTGCAGCCCCCACAGCATGCACCCCTGCAAGCAGGGGAGCCAGGCCCCAAATGTGGTGTGTGTGGCCATGACCTGGCACACCTCTCGAGTCCACATGAGCACCAGTGTCTGGCAGGCCATGACCGCTCTTTTCAGTGCACACAGTGTCTCAAGATATTCCATCAGGCCACCGACCTGCTGGAACACCAGTGTGTGCAGGCAGAGCAGAAGCCTTTTGTCTGTGGTGTCTGCAAAATGGGCTTCTCACTGCTCACCTCGCTGGCCCAACACCACACCTCCCACACTGGCATGGTGAAGTGCTCCATCTGTGATAAGACCTACAAGCCAACTGAGGCTGCTGAACCAGCCACCACTACTGCCCCATCGGTGCCCCCAGCACCTCCACCCACTAGTGTTGCCCCTGCGGAACAACCTGAAAAGCCCTATAGCTGCACCATCTGCCAGAAACCCTTCAAGCACCTGTCCGAGCTTTCACGGCACGAGCGGATCCACACTGGAGAGAAGCCGTACAAGTGCACACTGTGTGACAAGAGCTTCAGCCAGTCCTCCCACCTGGTGCACCACAAGCGCACACACAGCTCTGAGCGGCCCTACAAGTGCGCTGTCTGTGAGAAGACCTTCAAGCACCGCTCCCACCTGGTGCGCCACATGTATGCACATTCAGGGGAGCACCACCTGTTCCGCTGCAACGTGTGTGAGCTGCATTTCAAAGAGTCGTCGGAGTTGTTGCAGCACCCTTGTACCCCGAGCGGTGAGCGGCCTTTTCGCTGCAACGAGTGCCAGAAGGCCTTCAAGAGGCCATCAGACCTGCGGCAGCATGAGCGCACTCACAGTGCAGAGCGGCCCTTCAAGTGTGACCTGTGCCCCATGGGCTTCAAGCAGCAGTATGCACTGATGCGGCACCGGCGCACACACAAGACGGAAGAACCTTTCAAGTGCGGCCTGTGTGAGAAGGGCTTCGGGCAGCCCAGCCACCTGCTCTACCACCAGCATGTGCACACCCTGGAGACTCTCTTCAAGTGCCCGGTGTGCCAGAAGGGCTTCGACCAATCTGCTGAGCTGCTGCGGCACAAGTGCCTGCCAAGCTCCACAGAGCGGCCCTTCAAATGCCCAGTGTGTAACAAGGCCTACAAGCGGGCGTCTGCCCTGCAGAAGCACCAGCTGTCGCATTGCGCCGCTGCGGAAAAGCCTCTGCGCTGCACCCTTTGTGAGCGCCGATTTTTCTCCTCCTCGGAATTCGTGCAGCATCGCTGTGACCCGGCCCGGGAAAAACCACTCAAGTGCCCGGACTGTGAGAAGCGCTTCAAGTACGCATCAGACCTGCAGCGTCACCGGCGGGTGCACACTGGTGAGAAGCCCTACAAGTGCCCCAATTGTGATAAAGCCTTCAAGCAGCGCGAGCATCTCAACAAGCACCAGGGCGTGCATGCCCGTGAGCAGCAGTTCAAGTGTGTGTGGTGTGGCGAACGCTTCCTGGATGTGGCACTGCTCCAGGAGCACAGTGCCCAGCACAGCGCTGCAGCTGCAGCTGCAGAGGGGGCTTACCAGGTGGCAGCCTGCCTGCCCTAAGGCCTTGGGGCCACCACCTATCCTGTCTAGTCTCACCTGCTTGCAGCTGCACTCAGGAGTGAGGACCAAAGGGTTCTGGGCAGGTGGAAGGTGTGCATGTTCAGTACTCCTAGCACCGGCCCGGCCATCAGAGGAGCCAAACTGCTGTGGCCAGACCAGATTCCATTAACCTCTTCCCTATGACAGGACTTGCTTTCTGAGAGCCTGCTGCCCCCCTTATCTATAGAGAACTTGAATCCCACCTGTAGTGAGGTGCCTCTCTGCCCCAGATATGAGGGATGCCAACCTAGCCTTCCCAAATTGTTCAGTCTAGTTAGAAGCCAAGTGGCTTGGGAAGAAGGAAGTAGGGTTTCTTCTCAAATTGCTTTTTTTTTGGGGGGGGGGAGAGTCCAGCTTTGTTGCAGTTCTGGAGACTTGAGTGTAGACCATGAGCTACAGTCCTCTGTCTGCCCAGGTAGGATGAATATGCCCCAACCCCAAGTTTCTGATAGTTGAGCTATGTAGGATAGGAGTCTTTGGGCAGGGTGTGTTTGGAACCTAGGGGCCCAATCAGGGTGGGGGAAGCAGAAACATTCCACGACACACTCAGGTCAGCCAATGCTGTCCACAGGGAAAGGGACAAATAGCCTGTGTGCTGAGGGTGATCCTGAATCTGTGGAAGCCCCCTCCTGCCTGTGAGTGGTTCTGAGCTTCAAGGGAGTGAATGTGCCCTTAGCAGAGCTGCTGTTGTAGAAGGGGAGGGCTGTTAGTCCTCCTTACCCCTTGCCTCAGACCTGGGGTGGGCAGGAAGGAGGACCAACCAAGCCCATGATTTCCCTAGCAGTTATTAACAGGCCCCCTCTTCCCAAGTTGTGTGAACCAAAGTGTCTGGGCTTCAGCTTGTCCCAGCCCTGCCTGAGGGCCAGATGCAATTCTGGGTACCCAGGGTGAGGAATGGCTTTTTACCCTATAGAGCACTTCCAGCCCATGGATACCATGAGCCATCAATCTGGCAGTGGGCTTGGGCCCTAAGGATCTTCTGTTGCCAAAACAACCCACTCTCCTTTAAGTCCTAGGAGTCCCCTTAGGTCGTTGGCTATTATAGCAAACATGGGGACACAAGGAAAAAGCAACATAGTAGGCAGCATTCTTAGCAGGTACATGGTCAGTCACCACCACTGGACGGCCAGAGCCACCTCAAGAGCCTGGAGGACCTTTGTTATCAGTCATTCTGAACCCAGCCCTGCCC